GGTTCGAGTTTGGAAAAAACGAACTTCGGAATTGAACTCAGGACGTTGGAAAACATAAAATATGACTTTTCGAAAATTTTGACTTTTTTGTCAAAGTCAACAGTCAACGACGGTCAACTGTCAATGGTCAACGGTCAGCGGGTCGGGTCAACGAGTTAGGTCAAATCGGTTCAAACGGGTCGGGTTGACTTTCAAAACTGCCCCAACACACCGAATAATCCCCGCGCGTGAACAGTTCTAGGGTGTTCGAAAAATTCCCAAAAAATTTCTAAAAACATTTTAAGCGATTTTAAGACACTTACCAAGCTCGGTTCAAAATTTTGAACTGCGGAGAGATCGATTTCGAAACGTCGAAAACTTTGACTTCCTCACCCCCTGACGCTCCGGCGACGGACACCGGTGGACTCGGAACGACACAAGGAACACGATGGTGCGGGAGGTGTCGAAAACAGGTGGTCGGATCGACGTGAATCAACGGAAAACTAACGGGGATTGAGTTAAAACCAACGTTACTTCTAAGTGAGATTTACGACGAACGACGTCGATTCACGATGAGTGGTTTGAGGGGTTTTGTTCATCGGTCGATAACGAACACGATGATGATTTCGGATCGTCGAACAGTGGTTGGAGGGTGAATAGAACGGAGGTCAAAGGAGGGTTGAGGGGAAGAGAAACTGGGAAAATAATCTAAAAAAATAAACAGATTGCTTCGGGGGAGAGAGTGTTTATAATTCTCTCCTAAAGAAAAATAGGTAAATTATGAGTTTAGACCTTAAATTTCTTACACTTCCTAAAATGGTCTGTCAACTTCAAAATTTTACAATTTAATCCTCATTTTCTTCTAAAATATCAATTAAATCTCATACTTTATAATTTCTAAAATTTAGCCCGTAAATTGGGGTGTTACAAAAATGGTTTCATGGACATGCTTTGAAGATTCTGAATTTGTTTGACAATATTAATTCATTTTCTCCCTTGGAACTTGAAGTTACTGAGACTTTTGTTTGAGATTCCATCCCTTCGTTTGATTGTGGTATAAACTTGCCAAATCATAGATGCAACAAAAGTACATATTTGATTTACCATTTTATCTAGAGTAAAATTATCTGCTTCTTTAATCTGCAGGTAGTTGGAGGAATGGAAAACACAGTAAACAATTAAACTTGAGCTTAAGCTTGAGCAGTAAATTAAACAACCCAACAATGAAAGCTTGAACTGAACAATTAGATTTGTAGAAGATGGGGTCGTGAGGTTTGGCCGTTTGGGTGTGGAACTGGGGTGAGTTGGTATTGTTGGGTTACTTGGGTAAACTCTTCGAGTGCCCAATATTTTATCGGGTTTTCAGATAATCCGTAAGTAGAATTTTATCGATCCGTATTCGATCCGATTATATGATTTTTTTTCTGAATATCCGATATGAATTATCCGAAAACTAAAAGATGGATCGGATATTCGAATTTTTTAGATCGGATCGGATTGGATTTTTTTCACACCTCTAATATGAAGAGAAGAGAGAAGAGTGTAAGATTTTCATTTCAAAATTTCACTAAAATATTAAAAAGTAGGGAGGGAACTGAGAAGAGAGAGTGTTTTCATTTTAAAATTTCACTAAAATTGTACATGAATAATTATATTAAATCAAAGTTTATATGTTATATTATACATTAACATTTAATTAAAGTTTATGAGTAAATTTAAGATTTTAATTAAAATTAATCCTTATTTATTTTTTATTTTTGTAATTTAGTCAAATAATCTTAATATGATGATATTTTTGTTCAATTTAGTTCTTAAAATTATATATTTATTCAAAAATGGCCCATATTTATTTCTATTTTTTGTAATTTAGTTCAAACCCTATAAATTACTTCTTAAACTCTAAACCCTATAAATTATATCATAATCTTCAAACTCTATAAAATTTTGTACACCAACTTTTCAAATGAATGCAATTTAGTCCAATTTGATATTAATTTCAACTATACATTTTGTAATTGTTTCAATTTGATCCCTGCTCGTTGTTCAATTTATTTAAATTTTAGTTTGTAATTTCATGTTTGTTCAACTTAGTCCTTCAAATTATATTTTTATCCTAAATTGGCCTATATTTATTTCTATTTTTGTAATTTACTCCAAATCATATAAATTACATCATAAACTTCAAACCCTATGAATTATATCATAATCTCCAAACCCTTTAAACTTTTATTCACCAACTTTTCAAATGAATGCAATTTAGTCAAACTTGATATTAATTCCAGCTTTACATTTTACAATTACGTAGCTATAGTTATAGCTATAGCTATAAGACTATGGTTAGAAACATATAATATAAGAATACATGACTATATATATATATATATATAAAATAGAATTACAATTAGACATTAGTGAAAGGCGGAAACTAATTCACCCAAAAATGATTCGATCTGAAGTCCATTTGTATGTAAGACTCGACTTGAAGTTCACCCAAAAATGATATTACCCGACTTGAATTTTATATGTCAACAAGATGATCCGACCTGAACGAGACTCAATCTGAAATCCATCCAAACTTGAATTAACCTGATATTTAACTGATTCAGACCCGACCTAAACTGATATTGACCCGAACTGAAATTAATCGGACTCAAGTCGAACTATTAAATTAACCTGACATAACTTGTACCTCATTTGACCTGACCTGAAATCTGAACGATTATCTGATTTCATATCTCTACATATCATATCAAACTAAAAATAAATACAATTATAGGTGAAAAAGGCAGAAATGTCAAAACCAATGTGTCATAAGTGAAATCACTATTAAAATGGGTATGAAAAAAGATGGTTGAGGGTCTACTAACTCAAGGCTCAGAAGCTTCGTATGATGAAAATATTGTGAGTTCCATGCTAAAGTGGGCATGGTATTCAACATTGTGAAGAGTTAGGAGTTATGATACAGAAAATGACGGACTTCAAAGAAATCAAATTCTTCATAGACAAAAAAAAAGATTTTGGATAAGTAGAAGTGGGTATGATTGAAAGGAAAAAGAGTTCATTCAAGAATTTAGAAGTGAAAGAACTCAGTTAGTCCCTAACTTGATTATTCCAGCTGAATTTAAAGTTTCTATAACTTTGAGAAATATGATGGTATAAGTTGTTATTTGATCTATTTGAAAATATTCTATAGAAAGATAGAAGGTTACTAAATGATGAAAATTTGTTGATCTACTAATTCCATGATAATCTGGTTGGACTTATTGTTGTATGGTATAACAGATTGAAAGGGAACAAAATGGATCATGCATTGATTTATCCAACGCATGTTTGGGGCAATATAAGTATGCCATGGAAATATCTCTAGACTATCAACTTCATCATAATATGCGGATATCAATGTAACACCCTGAAAATCGACATACATTTTTTCCAACGTCTGGTGATCAAAACATAAATTTTAAATATTTTTTTAATATTTTAAGTACTTGAATATGTGTTCAGTATGAATGGAATTTATTTTGTTATGAGTCAATTTGATTTTGAATTGAGGACTAAATTATAAAATGATCAAGGATTAAAGTGTGAATAGTGAAAGTTTGAGACTTAAGGGGAAACATAGGAGAAGTGGAAGGATTAAAGTTATGATTACTTACACCATTAACAAAATTAGTGGAATTTGGTGACTATGTATGCTATGTGTCAATTTATAGCGATATAGTATTAAAAGACAATTTTTTAAATTTAGGAAATTAGGTTAATTTGGTGGGATTGATTTTAAGGGATTAAAAAATATAGTATAGTAAATAAAGGAGAGAGGGTTTTAATTTGGGTGATTTAAAGTGGATATTGGAGAGAAAAGAAACAATAGCTTATTCTCCATTTGAATTATCAAACTCCATTAAAGGTTTTTGCGGTGAGAGCAAACCACCAAATTACCCTAAATTCTCTTTCTAAATTTCAAATTGAAGCTATATTTGAGAAGTCCTCATGATCAAGTTAGTGTAAGTGTAACCCTAACTTTAATTCAATTGTAGATTTATAGCAAATTAGAGTTTATGTGATATTATTTATTTGATGATGAATTTATCCTTGATTATGTGTTTATTTTCTTGCTAGAGAAAAAGGGTTTGGTAGAAACCCTAAAACCAAAGGAGAAGGCTTAATTTATGAAATTGTTCATTTATCTAAGGTAACTTGAAAGTTTTATTTGAGGATATTCATAATCGAGTCTCTATGTATGTGAATATGTGTTCAGATTGCAGTTGGGTATATTGTTGTGTGTAATTGTGAGAACTATGTGTATTAGTTCAATTAGAGCATTTTGGATAACATTTGTGACGATTCGATAAGCTCCGATAAACTATTATGATGTTGTATGAGATAAATTTTGTATATGTTTTTCTTTGATTGTGATAAGTTATTATACGTTTTGTGAATATATGATTCAATATAAGAAAATAAATAGAATTGAAGTATGAGCTCCTATTATATGTCAAAATGATCTTTGTGAAAGCCTTGTATGAAAAGGGTAAATACTAAACTTCGAATTGTAATGATTGAGCTCTCAAGCATTCAGTGGAGTCTTGGATGCAATTGGCATGACACGTCTAGTCCCATAGTGTTTTGATAAACCCTTATACTTAACAAGGTGAAAGAATCTTGTACATTTGAACTATGATCTCGACGAGGCGGAGTGATAATGAGTTATGCGTAATTTTGATGATGAGATGAGATTCGTGTATCACCATTGTACTATTATGCTAGACTTCGGTATAAATTGATATGTGCATGTTATGATCAAACGTGTATTAAACATGAATGTATTAAAGTATCATAACTTAAATTAATTTTAAATTCATAAATTTTTATTAAGATAATTCGTAATAAACTATATAACGGTGTTAATCAATCCGTAATTAACTTAAACGGTAAAAAATCAATTTTTTTTAAAAAAAATCTTAAAAAACTTTCTTTTAAAAAAACTTTTCAAGTGTTTGATTCACCTATAACACAAATGATAGATAGATATTGCGTTTTCATTAAAATAAATCCAAATCTTCGCACGTTCATATAATTTAACACCCATACCATGCGTCTTTGATAATTTGGTGCTAATAAAAACAAGTCCAACATTTATCACAATTTAACCTTAGATTGTTAGCCATACTGCTTATTCCTCTTCCTCTGCTTCCTCCAGCCAATTCACAAATGGCTCCAGGGCCTTCACAAAGGTTTGCCTGTCATCATTTAAGGTACATTTTAAAAGTACACAAAGAAACAAATGGAAAAAGAAAAAAGTGCAGTGTCGTCAAAGATACAATCCTTCCATGTCCAAGTAACATAGCCACTAGTGATGCATCAAAGATACAACAGCACGTATGAAATGAATGAATGCATACCTTCCCTTCAGGTTTGTTCCTTTGCGGAACCAGTGAAGAATGGTGTCTTCTGCAAGGACATCCTGATCATAAAGAGACTTCACAATCTCGGGAAACAGCTTCATCAATTTTGCATCCTCATAGCATTGCATCTGGACTTTATATATAAGTTCCAGCTCAATGTTTCCACTGGTGCAGAAAGAATTTAACAGCTTTGCCCACGTTTTGACCTTTATCACAAGAAGAGGTGCTATGTTATTATCAAAACGACAACTAATAATATAGCATAAAGTTGATGTTATTTCAGATTACATCAACTTTATTTATGCACTATACAGGGCATATAGTTGAATTAATGGGAACATGGTATGAGAATGGGCAGCAGTTGAACATATGCTCGAGTTGGACAAATGCATTCATGTAGAATATCATTAAAACATGGCATGCATCCAAGCAAAAATGAGAATTCAGTAGAAAAGGATAACTGTTAAACTTATGCATTAAGTAGAAAACAATCATAGTATGGGCAGGTGTCTATATAATCAATTTGAGCCAACACTATATTTTAGAATATGCATTTAAAAAAGGAGTCTACTTAAGAAGCTTTACGCAACCGCAAAAGTGCAAACACATGCATAAAAATCTGCAAAATGATTAGTTTTGCACATTACTACTCAATTTAAAAAAGGTTTCCATCCTACTTTCAGATACTTCCAATAAAACACTTGGGAACTAAATCATGTAATTTGGCCACCACTATCCCTAATTAACCAAAGGACTATTTCTGAGGGGAATTACAGTATAACACAAAAACAATGTCAACAAAAGGAGAAAATAAAATATGCACCGATCACAAAGAAAGTTAGCTGCATCCACATCTCCAAACATGCACATAGATGTTAAAACAGGGATATAATATTAAACCAGACATGCATCTGTTGTTTGGGGTTCAGCCATGAGGATATGGTGTTGCTAAAAGGCAGAATCCCCTACAATGCATTGAGTTTCCATCAACATGGATAAAAGAAAAAATGTCAATAGAAAATGTAGTACCTGTCGCAAAGCTGAATTTGCATTCTGCTGCTGGTTCTTTCCAGACCACTGAACAGCATCCATTATTACATCCCAGAGAATCCGTATAACCTCAATATCAGGTAATTTAGCATCTTTAACACGTTGTTTGACAGTTTCAATGACTTCAGATACATCAGATTCCTCCACTATCTGCGTTGTCAAAGCAGACTTCATGTCCTTAAGTTTTACCTCAAATATTTTTTTCTCGTTGTATTCAACCAAGGGAACCAACCCTGCCTTGCTGAAATCAACAGAATTAAACATGCATAAATTCAACAGTCGTGAATCATGATATATAGATAAACAAAGCATGATTCACTCACAAATACAATGATAACCGTAAATCACACATTATAACATTGTCAATCATATTGAACATTAATATATATGATTAAAAAAATTCTATGCCTGGTTCTGTGTTCAATTCGAAGGAAGGGATTGCAGATAAAATGAGTCAACCTTTCAGAATGTCATACAATAACTTGATCATTTTTAGATTGGAGGATTAATAGGATAGTGTGATTGGTATCTGCAAAAAAAAAACTAATTCTGCCTCTTTTTTCTCATGACAAATCAATCTAGCTCTTAATGGTGACCAGAAAATGAAGGGCAATTTCGACCAACAAAAAATCCCCAATCGCACCCTTACTCTTTGTATAGATAAAAAAGATTTTCCTTGTCTTAATCTTGCAGCTACACAAAACATAAGATGATATCATTTAATCCTATTCACGCCTATCTCATATTTTGATTCTTATCCATCCTGCCTGTTTTTCTGGATAGCAACACACCCTAGTATATTATTTACGTGAACAGGTAAATTTAATGGTTTGGATGTCAACATATGTACTTAATCACATGAAACCCACTATCAAGAATGGTTCAATTCAATTGCATCACGATTATGTGTAACAGTAGGTTATTAGCACATTTAACATTTCTACTGCATATCACTGATGTTGTCAAAATCAAGTAAATACTTGCTAACTACTAAAAACAATGACCCGACTTAAATTGTTTATCGGCAGCAACTTTACTCTTTACATCTCTAGTTTCTTTCACTAATACCCTACTATGACCAAAGTCAAGTGTACAATTTACCAAATGTCAAACCAACAAAGCTAGAATACTTTTTCACCAAAAACCAGAGCTTGATCTCTAGCACCAGTATAAATTAGGAAAGCAAATGTAGCCCAGTTCTTAGTGATATTAAGAACTTTCGAACTCCAAACGATGCCTACAATATAAAATCTCAGAAAATAGGATAAGGGAAATTACAAATGTAAATTCCTCTCCCTAACCAGAAACCTTACGTAAAATGCTCGGAGAAACCTTCAGCAGATCGCTTTGTGGAGGGGAAGAACTGCAGCAGATTGTCCTCGATTTTCCCTCGCTTCAGAAGGGTAATTAAATCCTCAAGGGTATTATCCACCAGATAATCCTTGAAGAAGTCTGTTATGAATGAAAGAACTAGCCCTTTCGCCACTAGATTATCATTGAATAGTGGTTGGAACACAGTCTCAGGAGGCAATCCTGATAATTTCTGGGAAAACACAAGGGCTGAGAAAATTGCAAGTTTCTTCCTTTCATTTTCCTCGAAAAGCTCCAAAGACTGCAAGAGCTTTTGCATAACATTTTCAAGATTCTTTATCAGAAACGGCCTTCGGCGCAAGATTTTCTGAATGTAGATCACAGAAGGCAAAATGGCATCCCGTTTAGCCTCACACTCTATGACAGAGTACGGATGGCGCTCCCCCTCATCAGGTTTAATTGTGCCTGGTTGTCTGCGGCCCCCAGCAAAAGCAACCTGCAATTGCCAAATATAGCCAAACACCAGAATAACCAAGATTCACCATGGTAGAAGGGAAGAAGTAAGCAATCAAAACTCCACTAATTTGAATAACTTCAAAAACTTGGTCAAACATCAGGAATATCTAGTTTTAATATTTTTACTTGAGAGAACTAGTTGTTACCCAAACTAAATTAAATTAGCATGAAAATAAAGAAACTAGAGAAAGGACATTCCAACTTCCTAGCAGATACTTAAGCCAAAAGTTTGGAAGAACGCCCTAATCAAGTTCAGAGGAAGAGTAAATTGTCAAGTATTCTTACTAGGGTTTTTAACAGTATCAAGATTTACTTGGAAACATGATGCTGGAATCAAAGATGCACAGTAGGCAGATTAAGTGTTAGCCTCAAAGTATCAACACAGTAACCACCCAACATCCATAATGACATAATGGTGCGAGGAATTCCAATATCTATTTTTCCAGTAAATCATCATTCTTAATCCATGATCTAAAGATCCAATGAAATAGCATAGAATAACCACACGCAATCATTCAAAGGAAACTATCAGAAATTGAATTTCCATATGAAAAGAACAACTTTACCTCAAAGAATGTATCACCGTATCTTGAGAAGTTAAGATTTGAAGATTCAAGGCTCTTGGCAACAAGTTCCTGCAAGACACAAGTTTATGATCAGGGAGCATACAATAACCAATTAAATACAAGAATCAAGCTTAAGTTTTAAGTCTAGACTAAAAATATGAAGATTGCGCATTATTTACGACATTTACCAGATCACCAGCATTATCCAAATATATCTGGACTACTGCATCAGCAAATGCTGCAGGGTCCAGGGGTGCAGCAATATTCCGTTTGCGGGTCTTAATCCGCGTACCGCTGCACAACAGAGAGATGATACTTATGCGCAAATTAAGAAAATAGCATAAAAAATCAGATAGGCACACTATTAAGGTTCTTCCACTATAGAATATTAGTTTTCCCATACAAGTAAGCACGTGTTTTGGTTTTTAAGAAATCAAATGGTGAACTTTTCAGTGCTGGCCCTAATATAAACCATAAATGTAGTTCATATTTTATAGCACTATAAGCAAACCATAGTTATCAAAACAATAAAACACAACCCAACCCTGAATTGTGAAATAATGAAATCGAATTTAATAAGGGAAAGTAGTAAAGTAGCACGGTCTTTTTTCGAAATCAAAAATTCATTAGGATGTCTAGCAGAATGTCCAACCTTTCCTACTTTTAAATCAGGAATAAAGCTCTAAGAAATACAAGAAACTGCAAGAAAATCAATTAATTTTGAGCAAAAATCAAAGAATATCCCGTTCTTAGAAAATTAACTCATAAAAAGGTTCAGAAACAAGGTTATCAAGAATACTTTGCAGCCAAAAGAAATGAACTTCGGCCTATTACTTCAAGAGTTCATTGAACATAGCATGTAACTAGCATCAAGGACTCGTAATACTAAGAATTAGAGATACCCCATTTTTATTATCTTTATAACGCCGGTTCCAATAGCACTAAGAAATTAGGATAAAAAATAACTTACCCAAGAGTGGGTTTCTCCTTAGTGCTGCAGATATACAGACCAACATCAAAAGGGCAAGCATTAAAATCAAATAGTTAGTAATCATATATAAAAAATGAAATTTCTTAGAAAAGAATTGCACAAAAAGCAACATGCATTCTTAAGGCCAAAAAGAATTTTTCATATAATAGTTTAAGATACCTAGGTCGAATCTCAAAGGAAAATAAGGCAGTTTTCGATATAAGAAAACCCAATACAAGGAAATAAAGACAAATAAAAAACCCTAAAATTCAAAGAAAAAACTTTACGAACAATCCGCAAAAGATAACGAAATCAAGTAAAGAAAATGATTACAAAATAATTTCTTTTAATCTTCACAACAAGAAAAACCTAAAAACGAATAGAACAAGAAATGATTTACAAGAAAAAGCCCCACAACTACTAAAAATAGATCAGGAAAAACGAATCGATTTGGTTTTTGGCGAAAGAAAATTATAGATCTCAGATTAAGGGAAAAGGAAGAGAAACTAAGGATCCAGAAAGAAAGTACCTCATAAACTAAGTCGAAGAAAATATCGGAGGAGAGAGTTTCTCTTGGATTTGGGAGATTTTTTTGGAGAAACTAAAGAAACTGAGAAGAAGAAGAGAGGAAGTGAGCTGAATGTTGGAGTCGACGAACAGATCAACTCAAAGTATATTTGATTAAAGGATAAACTACACAAGTAATCTTTTATGTTTTCAGTCCGTATTATTTTAGTCATTAATTTAAAAAAATTAAGAATATGAGTAACTTACATTGTTGATATATCTTATTTCGATTATTGAATCGTTAACTCATATTAATTTGATGATGTGATGTATTATTGAAATAAATTAATTTTAAAATTAACCACTGAACTTTTAAAATAATTAACGCTCTTCATTGAAAAAAAACTAAAATCCTTTTTTTTCAAAAAAAAAATCATTTTTTTAACTTTAACCCTTACCATGGTTGTCATCGTTGCCGTCTTCGTTCATCGCTTCGTTTAGTCATAGTTCGACCTTATTGTGCTTTACCAATAGGTCACTAGTAAAATTGTTTAAAAATTATCTGACTTGAATTATTCGATCCAGCTACTTATCGACTTGATTACAAATTATTAGATATTTATAATAAAAATACTCGAATTTATAGATTGAGTATCCAACCCGTTACTTTTTATTAGTTTCTGGGTCAGATTCGGATCACAAAATTTTTCTTTAACTGAGTACTCAACTACCCAATACTCAACTTTTTATATTATTTTAATAAAACACCCCAAGCCGGTAGGTCCCAGTTGCAGTTACCTTAAAAGCATTTACGAAAAGAGGATGCAGAAGAAATTGAAGAACTCAATTTTATCATGAATAAGCAAATGCCTCCAGGTTACAAATAATAGCTATTATTTCAAGAATGTAAAGAACAATTGCAGTTGGTTTTGCAGTGGATGCAAGCTTCTCGGTTAGCAGTCAGTTTGAAAACCAAACGTTAAGCATTCAATAAAGTTTTGGTCCAATTATGGTTTTGGGGCATATAATGTTTAAATTTTATGATTTAATCCTTGTATTTTTATTAGGCATAATTGGGCAAATAATCCAGACGGGTGGATTATTTAGCCCAATAGGGTAACAGAAAAATTATTTTTGGGATCTACGGCAAATGTTACAGTGCATATGGAACTCGTCATGCCGGCGTGACGAGTTTCATAGGATATATTTTTTAATGGTTGTGTTACGTGGGTCCCATATCCCTAATTATTTTAATATATTTTATGGGACTCATTTTTTTTTAAATATTTTTTAAAAGTACTGAAAAAAATAATTTTCAATTTGAAAGAACTAGTCGTTATTGTCGTTGGGTAGAGTAGTATAAATAGATGTTTGGGTTGGATTGATTTTTCACTTGGAATAAAGCATTCTATTGAGAGCAAAAACTTTTGTGTTGAAATGGCCTCAAGAGAAGAAATGTTACGTCTTGATGATGTTCATATTTCGTCAACCGAGTTGACTATGGTAAATTTAATTTTTTTATTTCATTTTAGTTTTAACAAAATTATAGTATTAATAATAATTATTTATGTAATTGTATTAAATAATTTACCTTCAAATTGTAGCGAGAAGAACGAGTCATTCATCATCGAGGAATGACGAATGAAGAGTCACATGAGTGGATGATGATATATCTTTCACGATCAGGATTATAGGGAACGACGTTTCTTCACAGATTTAAGGTGATGTCGGCACTGATATCGGCGTTGATTGAGCGTTGGAGGCCCGAAACGCATACGTTTCATTTTTCTTGTGGTGAAGTGACGATAACATTGGAAGATGTCGTGTATCAACTTGGTGTTCCGATTAATGGTATGTAATTGGTGCTTCACAACACTTATTCGCTAAATGTTGTTATTTCAAATTTATTGGGAAAGGAGGCTATAGTTGATGTCATTGATGGGTTGCGGATACGGATGACGTGGTTGGAAAGAGAATTTAGAGTAGATGAACAATCAATGGAGCAATAGGTGATATATGCAACTCGAGCATATCTTATGACGTTGTTTGGAGGGATCTTGCTACTGGATAAATTGGGCAATTTGGTGCACACCCAATATCTTTCGGTAATGGAGGATTTCGCTATATGTCGCCAATATAATTGGGGTTCTGAAATTTTTGGTTTTTTGTATCGTGAACTCTGTAAGGTGATCGTAGTTGTTAGAGGGGAAAAAAGCGGATGTATCAGGTTGTTTAGTTTTGCTCCAATCATGGGTGTGGTACTATCTCCCATTTATGACGCCTATTAGATTCGCTCCTATGGAGTTTTCTCTCGCCGCAAGGTAAATTCATATATTTAAAGTTTTGATATTTTATAATATTTATTTAAATATTTTGAAAATGACAATAAACAATGTAATTTTTTTAGATGACGACACCGAATAACTGATACAAAGTTGTCGGGTGCAACCAAAGTAGATATTCGGATAAGGATTGATATCGCCGGCAGACATGCAGTAAATTTTAATATTTTTTGCATTAGCTTTGAAATTGTAATATTAATTGTTTAATTATACTAATATAATACTTTTGAAAGTTTAATTGGATACCTTATTATGAGTCGGATATCCAACGATGTCTATCGCCAATGTTCTTTGAAGGAGCGGAGACATGGTGTGCCGTAATACCATTGCTCCATTTCGCAATTGTTGAGATCCATATCGTCGATAGAGTTTTGCGACAATTTGGGTTTCACCAACTGATAGAAATGTCCATATTTAACATTGACGATTTGCATAAAATAGATGCACGTGGGAAGCATAACGAAGATTAGTCGAGGAAGCATGTTACATTCATACATCAATGACAAAATAGACATTTATGATTGCCTAATCGTTCAAAGGTACAACCCGAAGATTTTGATTTCAATGTTTCTCCCTTCCTCCAAAATTATGAAGCAAATGGGAAACCATACTTGACAACGCCGGACGAGCGATCCGAGTAGGAAATAATAAAGGCAAAATATGGAAAAAATCATCATCTTCATCTTATGCTTCCGCCAATTATTATCCACCGCAAGAAAGTTATGGTGGATATAGTGCATATCAACCATCGATGAAGTGTAACACCCATAACCCGTATAATTATACCTATACTGATTATAGATGTCACCCGAATTTTTAAAACCATTTTCCAATTCAAAAGCGATTTAAAATTTATTTTCTTAAAATGGTAATTGATATTATATAAATATCATATCATATAAATTATGTTTCATTATAACAAAGTTAATTCAAAAGATTTTTTTTATGAACACTGAACAATGCCAGTGAACAGTGAACAGTAACAGTGAAACGTGGGGGTATCGGTTCTCTTGTAGCAGGGAATCGGTTCCCCTTTAACATACTGGAAAATTTTTAACAAACGTAGTTATTGTTCATCATTATTCACTACTACAGTAACTGCTACAGTACTTCCGAAAATTACATATAAACTCATAAAAAATAACCTTTCATCACTATCAGGTTACCAATTGGTTTCCAAATTAATTCAACAAAACAAATTTAACATTATCAAATTGCATGCCACTATCTAAATCAAATTCCATCATAGGATGTGTTACTGATATTGCAATATACTCCTCGATGCTTGATTCACTTTGAACTCTTTATTCCATTACTAGCTTTTTACCTATGCGTGAAAATCATCACACGCTAAGTATAAACTTAGTGAGACAATTAAAAAAATAAACAGTGCAATACAATTCATGCCTGAATTTCAATGTCAAATTCACAATGCCATAAAAATCATGTTACCAACATATCCAATATTTTTCCATGATCAAAACAAGATAAAATCTCTTACCATTTATCCCATAAGCTCGTAAGCTTATTTTACCAAAATACTTACCATTTAATCCCATATGCTCGTAGCTTATTTTACCAATATACTTACCATTTAATACCATAAGCTCGTAAGCTTATTTTACCAATATACTTACCATTTAATACCATAAGCTCGTAAGCTTGTTTTACCAATATACTTGTCATTATTCCGTAAGCTCATAAGCTTATTTTCATGATTACCATTTATTCCACAATAAACCATAATCCATAGCCCAAACCCAATATTAAACCTTGAGGACCCAGGATATTCGAGTAAAATATTTGCACCATAGAGCTAAACCTGCACTAAGCTTACGCCATAGTGCTAATCCGGACAATACACATAAGGTCGTTCCCACCACATACACTAAGCTTACGCTATAGTTCTAATTCGGACATGATACATAAGGTCGTATCCACCTTCTCGCACTTAGTACCCTTTCACACTATAGTGCTATTATAAACCTGCAGCTGCTATACTCTATGGCATGCCAACTATACCCTGTCCCTCAATGACTTTCTTGGGCATATAGTCTATTTAATTCTATCAATCCATGGAAAAGTATATTATCAATATTTAACATTTGGACAGTTCATACCCGAAATAACATTCATGGTAAAATATCACATTTTTCATAATCAATGCATTTTGATTTCATACCGTGACATTTCAATGTCATGTCAAAGTTATAAAAATGACATATATCATGTTGATATAAACAAGGTTGACTTATCGCAAATCTTCCTGATAATGTATAAAACATCCATGTATAATTTCATGCATGTATTGCACTCACCTTGACACTTTATAATTTTTCAAAATATGAGCCTCGCTATTGTTCCACAATAAATCCTTTTTATACTTGACTTGCTTCAATCGCAAATCAAACATTATTTGTATAAATCACAAATTCATAATAATATATATGTTAGTATTGTACTAACATAAACATATCCCATAACAACTTCATAATATACTTGGAACTCCTTTTCCACCAAAATACTCAATACTTAATAATTTCTTTTTAACATTGGAAACAACTTTTCCAATTTACACAAACTGATCCTTCACCATTTTATCACTTAGAATTTCAATACCAAAAATTTCAGTATTGAAATTATCACCATTTAAATGCTTTTACAAAAGCATAATTACATTTAAGTACACCAACTATACAATTGTTGTACTTAAATCACTAATCTTTTCAAACTTTCAAAATAATCATATTTCACATTCTAACACTCATTTTAATTCCCAAACAA